GAGCTGGTTTCACTAAATAGCAAGTAGAAATTAATATTTCAGGTCTGAAATGAAAATAGACACCGTAAAGTATAGCGGTAGAGGTGGTGCCACACAGTGTGTGGGTTGGAGTCTGAATTTTCACTTATTAATGAAGTGACTGTGGGTAAGTCACTTCTCTATGTCTGTTTCCTCCTCTGTAAATTGTGGGTAACCGCCTAATATTGTTGGGTTACATGAGCCACTATGTATGAGGCACTTGGTGCCTAGCCCAGGGAACACACCAAATTGGTGTTGGCCATTGTTATGAGACTAGGTCTGTTCTTGCTCATCTAAACTCCGTGTGCTGTCAGAAGTGTTCCTGTCTGTGCCTGTCCCAGCATGGTGACTTTTCCTGTCTTTCACTTCTATCCCAGATATCTCCCATCTCCGAAAGCGTTTTCCGTTAAACACACACATAACTTTGAATCACTTAGCTTTTCCCATGACTTTATGTTCTCTTTTAGACATGTAACAGTCTTTGTCTTTTCTTATGAACTCTGTGCCTTGTGGTAAATTCAAAAGCGATGGCATTTAACTTCATAGCAGTGAAAATTTGAAGCACAATTTCTAAAAGATTAAGCAAATGAACACTCAGCAAGTCTCATAAACATCTGTCCCTTGCATGTGTCAATATTTATAAAGTAAGGACTGTTTGTTTACTTTCCCTTTACATCCTTGTGTGGTTATGGCAAACACACCCAAGCATTTAAAATAGAAAGGTCTTGCCCAGCCTGAGTGACTCAGTTGAGCATTGTCCTGCACCAAAGGGTTGCCCGTTCTATTCCTGGTCAGGGCACATACCTGGGTTGCTGGTTAGGTCTCCGGTGCAGCCAATGGCTATTTCTTTCTCTCTTTCTTTCTGGATGTTCTCTCTCTCTCTCTCCCCCTCTCCCTCCCTCCCCTTCCTCTCCATCTCCCCCTTCCCCTCCATCTCCCCCTCCATCTCTCCCTCCATACTCCCCTCCCTCTTCCCCCCTTCCTCCTTCCTCTGTAAGCATGTCCTCTGGTGAGGATTAAACAAAAATAAATAAGTTCTTAAGAATAGTTCAGGGCCCTGGCCAGATAGTTCAGTTGGTTAGAACGTTGCCCTGATTCCCCAAGGTTTGCTCTTCTTTCAGGGCACATACAAGCAGCAATTAATGAATGCATAAATAAGTGGAAGAACAACACAATGTTTCTCTCTGTCTCTCTCTTCTTGCCTCTGTCTATCTCTCAAATCAATAATGAAAACACACACACCACAGTAGTTCAAGATATATTGGAGGATAATGGGTTTGTTTCTGAATGCCCACCTCCCACCCCCAGTTGGTTCCTGTATTCACTTTTCCTCCCAGGGCATTGATGTAACACTTAGGGTTACTTTCCCCCTCTTGCCCTCAAAAAGCAGGGTAAGTGTTGATTTTTTTATTTCATGTAGGGACTTACTAGTATATCCTAGAGAAGGATCTTCCCCTTGAGGTTGGGTTTGGTACTAACAAAACAGCTGATAAAATAATAATAATGATAGCTTACATTGCTTGTTCTGTGCCAGAATGTGGAAAAAGATTTACTTGTGTTATCTGGCTTCCTGTCAACAATAATTTTCTCCCCATTTTGCAGCCAAGAGAGGTTAATTTATTGCCCAAGTTACCTGTGGAGTTTTTACTGTTCATATGAAATTGTCACCTTGTTATGATGAAGTTTACAATAGCCTGTTTTTATTTTTATTAGCCATTAATCAAGTGTTAATACTCCAGGGAAGGTATGGTGTTTGCTCTCAAGGTGTTTTTAGTTTTATGAGGAACAACAACCAACAATTTAAAACATTTTCTAATTGGGTGTCTTTCATTACAGCTCTTGATGTACCTGCCCGCCAATCCTCAAGAAACCCGTTTGAGGGACAGAATCTATCTTGTGTCTCTCCTAGGGCCCTTATTGTTGTGTCCTAGAGGTTCTGTAAATATTTGCTGGATTGTGAGACAAAGTCTCAACACAGAGATTTGGAAGAGCATCAAATGATTTTGAGGAATTAGGGTTGAGATAATCAAGAGTGTTCCTTGGGTTAAAGCAGTGGTTCTCAACCCGGAGTGATTTTGCCTCCTCCAGGGAACTTTTTAGTTGTCACACTCTGGGCTGAGAGGAGGAGGGCTGTTACCCACGTCTAATGGTGTAGAGGCCAGGGATGCTGGCACATATCCTGTAATGTGCAGGGCAGCCCTCACTGCAGTTTTCTGGCCCCAAATATGAGTTGACAAACCTTGAGCTAGAGTTGAGCTAGGTTTGTAAAGCAGTGTGGAATCATGCATTTGTCTTGGCTCAGAGTTGTACAGGCTTGAGGTAAACTAAAAAAACTTCAAATTAGACATTTGACTGTATCCTTTCGCCACCTTCCTTTGGAAAATGATCCAATGAGTAAGCAATAGAGGCCTAAGAAAGAATTAAATTGAAGGAGGTTTCTGTCATCCTTTGTTAGAGGGAAAACAGCAATAAGAAATGAGGTTGGACATTTCAGTTGTTATTGAATTAAGGGTTTTGATTTTTCCACGTACATTCCTTCAAAGTAGGAATTTGTAGTAAGAATAATCATAACTTGTTTTTTTAAAGTGCGGAAGATACCTTTTGAAGGTCTTCATGTTTGTTAGCTGAGGTTTTGGTGATAAGTAAGACAAGTGTTTATGTTCTGAACTAAGCTCTCTAGTGGTCATAGTGTTCTTATTGTTTTAGGAACTGTAATTGTTTTTAATAGTCTTTTATTTGGGGCACCTGGGTCCTTCAGTCCCCAAGAGGAGAGAGAGATCACTCTTCATATAGTGAAACTCTCTGAGGCATACATGTTGCATCACTTAAGAGCAGCTTGTTGTGTTTTTTTTTTTTAATACCATTAGAGAGCTTTGGGAAAAATAAAGAGCAAAGTCTGTTATGACCCTGAAATCAACAGTAGAACTTGGTGTGGTGTATATGACCTGGAGAGCTATCAATGCATTTAGACATTAAGGACAGGAAACAGGTCAGGGAAACTTGTTCATGGTTCTTATGAACAAGTTCATGGTTCCGTGCAATAAGTCTTTCTGCAGTGATGAAACTTGCATTTCTGTGGCTATTTAAGTTTCAACTTAAAAATTGGTAGCTACCACATTGGATGAAACAAAAAAATAGAAGTCTATACCGAAGAGCCCTTACGTGTTTTGGTTTCTCTTACAGTTTTATGTCAAAATGCCCTATAAATTTGTCTGCCTTTGGGTTATTTTTTTTCTTACAGTGGTTGTGCTTTTATGATGTTGAGATAGCCAGTTCATCTTGTCATAATTCAATCCGTAACATACAAGCTAAGATTTATAATCTGACCACCCAGGGGCATGTCGTACTCGTTAGGGCTGAGGAAAAATTGGATCACATGGTCTCTGGATTTGGTTGGAATATAAACTTCAGCCAATTTCTTTTTGTTTGAGGCTCTTGAATCTATAACCGCATAACCTGCTTTTGGTTCCTCTGCACTTGAATGTAAAAGCCTGGGCTAATTATCTCCTTGCAGTCTGTTTAGTGAAAGGGAAGTCCGAAGAGACTTGTTCTAAAGAACTCTGACCTGATACTCATATGATTTAGAAAAACCTACTTTTGGGTTCTCTTTGTAGAGAAAGTATAAGTACATAGTAAATTTAAATTTGTAGCATGATCAGACTGTCTGAAACCATATTCTGGTAACAAAGAAAGAAAACACATATTTAAAAAATAGAAAATAAGTCATTTTAAGGAAGATTCCTTTTTTCCCTTTCTCCTTTGGCATCAGTGATAAACCTAGTTATTCTTTTTTTTAAAAAAAATATCTTTATTGATTTCAGAGAGAGGAAAGGAGAGGGGGAGAGAGAGAGAAACATCAGTGATGAGAGAGTCATTGATCAGCTGTCTAGCCCACAACACGGGCATGTGCCATGACTGGGAATCGAACCCCGATCGCCTGGATCCTAGGTCGACGCTCAACCACTGAGCCATGCCTGGCAGGGCGATCAAGTTATTCTTGAGCTTCCATTTGCCCTTCTCCATTCAGTATTTTTATTTATTTATTTATTTTTAATCTTCACCTGAGAATATTTTTCCATTGCTTTTCAGAGAGAGTAGAAAGGAGGGAGAAAGAGAGAGAAACATTGATGTGAGAAGAGACACATTGATTGGTTGTCTCCTGCATGCGCCCCGACTAGGGCTGGGGAGCAGACCTGCAACCCAGGTATGTGGCCTTGATCAGGAATCGAACCTACGACCCTTTGGTGTGTGGGCCAGTGCTCTAACCACTGAGCCACACCAGCCAGGGTTCCATTCATTGTTTTGTTTGTTTATTTGTTTTGTGTGTTTTTTATATATCTTTATTTATTTCAGAGAGAGGAAAGGAGAGGGAGAGAGAGATAGAAATACCAATGATGGGAGAGAGTCATTGGAGATTGAGCCCGCAACCCGGGCATGTGCCCTGACCAGGAATCGAACCTCGATCTCCTGGATCCTAGGTCGATGCTCAACCGCTGAGCCACGCCAGTTGTTTTTAAGCACGGTCATGATTTCTGCCACGTTAGAGAATACATTCCAATATTATATGATTATTATTTTTTCTTTAAATTGACATTTAAAGTTTTGTTTCATTCTAAATAATATCCGTGATATCACTAGTTTGGTGTATCAGTTTTTCCTAGTACATATTAAAATAAATACATACTCATTAAAATAAAATAAAAACATTTTCCCACATACCATCTAAATTTATAAAACTTGCCCTGATTTCTGTGATCTCAGTGTAGGGAAAGACAACTTAAACAGGATACACAAAGGCTAATAGAGGAAAATATTGATAAATTTTGACTATATTAAAATTAAGAACTTTGGTTCATCAAACAACACCATTAAGAGAGGAGAAAGGACCCTGCTGGTGTGGCTCAGTAGGTTGAGCTTTATCCCATACACCAAGAGGTCACTGGTTCAGTTCCCTGTCAGGGCACATGCCTGAGTTGCAGGTTCAATGCCCAGTAAGGGGCCTGCAGGAGGCAGCCAGCCCATTGATGCCACTCACATTGATGTTTTTCTTTCTCTCCCTCTGCCTTCCCCGCTCTCTAAAATGAGTAAACACACACACACATATTTTAAAGAGCTAAGACTGTATTTCTGACACTATTAAAAACAAAAAAACCACAGGAGCCAATAAGGAGCTCCTCCTGGCCAACACTAGGAAAACTTGAAACATATAAAATATGTTAAAATCATGTTTCTAACACTTCTAAGTCATGTTTCTAATACTTCAAAAAACAAATCATTGTATAGAGATTGCCATGATTCTAACTCAGTATTCTGACAATTGTGGAAGGGAAGACTCAGTCCTTTATCCTGCCTCTCAGAGAAACCAAATAGTTGATATGGGGAATTTTTTTTAAATAGAAGTATTCTAACTAATGTAGGAAGTGCTTGAATTAGAAAAATCATTTTTTATCCTGTAACAAAATGATGGTTCTATTTTAGCGATCATGAATGGCTGCTAAAGCCATTAGAGGCATCAGGCTGGAAATATGAAGTCAACATTATTAAAGTTGTGGCAAGCATATATTACTTCCTGATGTGCTGCAATAGGAATTACATGCACCATGTCTGTAGCATTCTTGTGAGAACAAAACAACCTGAATCTAGTCAAGCCTCAAGGTCAACATTGTGCAATAGAATTTTCTTTGATGATTAAAAATGTTTCTGTGCTGTCCAGTACAGTAGCCACTAGCAACTTGTGGCTTTTGAGTACTTGAAATGTGGCTAGTGAGACCGGGGAACTGAATTTAACATTTTATTAACTTTAATAAATTTAAATTTAACCACATATACTAGTGGCTACTGTCTTAGACTGCACAGCTCTAGATCTATGGCCAGTTTATAGGTAATACAGGGGATAGAAGACTCTATTAAAGTGATACCATGAAAATGTAATCAGCTACATTCAGAATATGGGAAAATCTATGTGTCACATGATCTTTTAATTTTTATTTCAACGAATATATTGTATGAAAAACAGTGGGGTGAAGATTGATATAGATTAAGGGATTTATGATTTAGTGTGTCAACCTTATTTGGATCCTGATTCAAATTTAGTGTGTGAACCTTATTTGTGTGAATTTATTTTTATAAGTCCTGGAGATCTTGATTGACTTATTTAATCCAACTGTGTAAGTTTTCAGTTAAAAAAAAATCGAGTGCCCTGTTAGGATATTGTGTCACGAAATATTGTAGCCTCATAAAAGATTGTTGTCTCATGTACTCTGCATGGATTCGAATACATCTGAAAAAGTTGTCTATTTTAGCTCCTTACTTTAAATGGGACAAAGTGGAACAACTAAATAAGGCCAGCATGGCCAGTGATCATCTCAGGGATGGTTGAGAGGGCTGGAGATGGTCAGCCTGGGAAGGAACCTACAGGAAATTGATAGCAGGCTGTAAATATTTGAAAGGATATTGAGGGGAGGAGTGATCGAATTGCAGAATTTATTAGGGAGCAGATTTTACTTGACCATCATAGGGAAGAACTTTCTATTCTCATTGTCTTGCACTGGAAAGGGCCTTCTCAGAGTGGCAGAGGCTGGGGAACACCTGACGGTTATCTTAGACTCAGTTCTTTGGTTGAGATATGTAACTGAAACCTTAGTTCTCCTGTGTGTCTCCTTTACTCTCACACCACTACCACACTCACAACCCCCTGATACCAGATGTGTGGGGCTTTTACCCACACCAAGCAGCTCTGCAACACCAGCTGGGAGTCCTACAATTTAACTCAATTCTCACACTCTACCTGGAGATACGCTCGGTCCCACAAGACTGCCCTCCACCCCCACTTCAGATGTCAGTGTGACAGCAGTAGATTCCCAGGCTACCACAACTTCTGTCCTACTTGGCTACAAACTGGAGGTTCCCATGATCGGCCTCCCTTTTGGATTTGATTATGTGTTAGAACAACTCATAGAAATGAGGCAAACAGTTACATTTACCAGTTTATTAAAGGCTGTGGTAAAGGATACAGAAGAACAGTCCGATGAAGAGATATAGAGTGCTTTTACCATTTAGGAAATTATAAGGGTCTTAGGAGTTCTGTGCTAGGAACCAGGGACAGAGACTAATATATATATTTTCTGTTATCTTACGAGAGGAAAACTGTGTGGCCTAAGCTCTAAGGTTTTTCTGCCTGTGAGTGTGAATGATGGAAAGAAAAAGAAATCTTATTTACATACAAAAAAAACGAGACGAGATTAAAAATTGGATCACAAATATTTGCCTGTCATTTGTACTTTTATGTTCCTACCAAGCTAAAACTTTCAGGGTTTGAGGTTTACTTCAGTAAGTTGTATTTTGAATTGAGAAGTGAACTTTGGGCTTCAGCTTCTTGCTGTCTTAGCCAGAGGAGGTTAAACGGGGGTTTATCGAATATCTGAGTGCTCAAGGAAAGGCTAAATGAATAAGCCATAAAAGCAGGTAGCATCTAATGGTTATGAACATGATTGCCTGGGTTTGAATCCTGTCTCTAGGCCTTATTTTCCTTACCTGCAAAATGACAATAATCCCAGCCATAGGCTTGTTGTGAGCTTGGGAACATAGCCTTCATTGTGCACTTCACCTAAATACTCCTTGAGGGTGCCTAACAGTATTCGTTAAGTTATTGATGAATAAGTGAGTTAGTAAATGAATGAAATTACAGAAATCTTTTACCTGATCTTGGATACTGTGATCTGAGCTTTTTTTCTTTTTTTTCTAACTTTTTTTTTTTTTTTTTAATATATCTTTATTGATTTCAGAGAGAGGAAAGGAGAGGGAGAGAGAGAGAAAAAAAAAACATCAATGATGAGAGAGTCATTGATCGGCTGCCTCCTGCACACCCCCGACTGGGGATCGAGCCCGCCACCCGGGCATGTGCCTTGACCGGGAATCGAACCCCGATTGCCTGGATCCTAGGTCGACACTCAACTGCTGAGCCACGCCCGGCCGGGCCTGAGCTTCTTGAATATAGAGGTGGCATTCTATACTTTGGCACTGAATTCCAGTTCATTTCATTCTACATCTCACCGTGCCCTATATTTTCTGCCTAATTTAACCATCTGCTTTCTGAGAAATAATGGTTCTTGAATTAGGATTAATTCTGTGGGGACTTGTTTTGGAAAATGACTTATTTTTTTATAAATGGGTTATGATTATCTGAGAATACTTGGATGTGATGCCTTGAATAATTTATGTACTAGGCCTCCCAGAGTATCAAGTTTATGCCCAGAATATTTTTGGAAAGGGAAAGTTGTTTGAAACTGCCATATTTTTTAAAAGGTACAGGACAATTAGGATTATGTTTCCTCTTAGACATTGAATTTTTCTTTCCATGATTTTTTAGAGATTGAAGATCTAGAAAACGCCAAGGTCATCTCTCCAGTGGCTTCTGTCTCTGATCCAGAGCCTCATTCCTCACCCTACAGGTAGGGACAGCAGCTGCTTTGGATAAAATGCTTCTAGAGCTTTTCTTTTCTGAGATAAGGAATTGGTGAAAGAAGTGGGCAGTGACATTAAGGGGGAAGACAAGTGAATGGTTTTGTCATTAATTAATCAATGCTTAAGTATATTTAGGGGCAATGTCAAATCTTTTTCAAGTTACAAAATTTTCTTTTAGAGTATAAAACTAATGAACAGTGTAGTGTCTTTATTTATGTTCTCCTGAAGACTAGGTTCAAATGTGAAAACATTTGACATGGATCCCAGGTAGACTTTAAGAGAACGTGTGTTTGTTTTTTAGTCCTAAAATACACACACACACACACACACTTTCACACTATAGGAGGCAGTTTTTTATTATGTAATTTTCAGATTAAACCATTATGCTGCCCTTCAAGCTATCATTCTTAAATTAATTTCCCTCTCCATCCATCTCATCCCCCCACCATCAGAGATAACAGAGTGTATAGCAGCAAGGGAAGAGTTGTACTGAGCCCTAGAATTAGTGGACACACGAAACATTAATGGAATAATTAATGAAAAACTGTATCTTGGAGAACCCCGAGCTTGTGGATATTATAGTCCCACTGATCAGGGAATAGCACAGTGTTGTCAAGCAGAACCTGTGATTTTCATGTCTTATACAAAATTGATGGCTGGAGAATGTCAAGATATTTAAAAATGTGTTACTTCTTGAGGAGAAGTTCTTTCTTTTTACCTTTGTATATGAAATAAAATCCTTTTCCCCCAGAATTCAGATGATGGAAGATAATGATTAATATAGTTGGTGATAATAATATAAACCACACTTTATTGACTGTTTCTCTGTAATAATAATCAAAATAAAATTGTTACTTTTTATTGAATATTTATATTTGCTCAATACTATTCCAGGTGTTAAAATGTGTTAATCTCATTTAATCCTCATAACAACCCTCATTAAATAAGTATACCTATTGTGCTTTTTTTACGATGTGGAAAATCAAACAGTAAATTCAGTAATTTGCCCAAGCTCACCCAGCTTTAGTTTTGTTTGACTCTAAAGCTTATTCTCATAAGTAGCAATAGAAAGGTTTTGAGTTCTATACTTAGAGCTAGTAGGTTACTGTATATAACACTCCTTTTAGAAGCACAGCCTCCTCAAGGCTTTGATTATTGGAGACAATTCTTGTTCTCATCAAATCCCCTGAGGAGAACTTTCCATCTTCCTGCCACTACTCTTTTTCTGTTGAGTTGAAGGATCTTTGGGGGATGGGTTTTGGCACAGTACTGATTTTTCCTCCTAAGAGCAAAAACTTTTTTTGGAGTCAGGAATATAGAACATTCTTAGAAAAAAGATTTAATTTTGAAGTTTTGTTTCTAAAATCTAGTGTGTGAAGAAAAAAAATCCAGCGATTGTGACGTTTAGTGCTTGAAGTTTAGTGTTTGTGTTTAGTATATACTGGAAATGGAAACAGCAAAACACTATCTTTTTCGTGAGGTTGGCCGCTGGCTGGCCTGGCTCGCCCCTCCCTTTGGGATGGCCTCCCTGTTCCAGGTCAGCACAGCCAGAAGGCTTACGGTGGGAGTTTTTCCTTTACGTGGTTTATCATTGGCATCAAATGATTTGCAATTTATCTTTCTCAAAATACCCTTCACTGATTCTTCAGAGCATAAAATGCTAATGTGAATATTAAATTTATGTGGCTGTTGCATGTCCTGTTTAAAATATTTTTTTAATAAGCAGAACTGTATTTGTGCAAAGTAGCATGCCTAAAGGCAAAGAAGAGACTAAATTTTAGATGCCATATGTAGTAAGGGCAGGCTAATGGTCAGATTAACTGTTGTATTCCCATATTCCAAATATTCCTCCTTTGTTCCCCAAAATTAACATTTATTTATTCAACAGATAATGATTGGGTATCTGCTATTTATTCACTCAACAGATATTTATTGAGAGCCTGCTCTGTACCTGGCACTGTTCTAGGCCCTGAAGATGCCACAGATGAGCAGGCAGTGCAAATCCCTGGTCTCATGGAGCTTATATTCTAGTGAGGGAGGCAGGCAGGAAACAAGTGTACCTCGTATTTCATAGAATCTAAGTTGCCATCAACTGTAAGATGAACTATTGTTTTATGTACCAGCAAGAAAGAAAAAAATGCCCAAGATAGTGAGTCTAATAAGAGACCCCTACATGGAGCTCTGGCTGAGCAAAAGCCTGTACCTTCCGTGAAAAGATAAACAAGGAAAAAAATCCCTCTACACAGCAAAGGACAGCAGGGAAACTTGAAAGTCTCAACCTTGGCACTGATGAGGGCAGGGCAAAATACGTCCCCTGAGAATAAGAGCCACAAGTCTGTAGTCACTAGTTTGTTTCCTAAATTCACTCAGCCCATATAGCCTAAACAAAACCCATAAACAGAACTTCAAGGCGACTTGGTTGGTGGCACTCCTGAGCAATGGCAGAAGCAAATACAAATCTCCCGTGGAAGGACTTGTATCAGTCCAGGCCCCAGGGAGTTTGAAAATACCACCAGTTTTTAGAACATCCCATATTTCAGTTGTATTAAAATCTGAAAACAAATCTGCATCTTGCAGTCAACAAAATATGGTACATAATATGTCAGACAGTAATGGATCAGCGAGGAAAAGTGAAGTGGGGGAAGGGTGTAGAGTGATGGGGCCAGGGAGGGGAGAGCCATTTTATATTTAGACATCTGGGAGGCCTCCCAAAAGTTGTGACTGAGCAGAAACCTGAAGGAAGGAAGCTAGAAAGTAACTGAGGGAAAGGGATTCTAGGCAGAAGTGACAGCAGGCCCAAAAATGCTCACATGGGAGAATGCTTGAACTGTTTGAGGATTCTCAAGACATTCAGATGCCCTTGTGACTGGAATGGACTGGACAAGGCAAGATGAGGTCATTCTAGGAGAGATGGGGTCAGAGTACAAAGGGCTATAGGGTTCCATGTGACAGGCTTGGGTGCAAACAGGGAGTAAGACCCAGTGCTTGCCATCAAGCTCACATAAAAGTGTGACAGATAATAAATAGTGTCAAGAAACAAAAATGGACCATAATTTCTGGGCTTACGAGGATAAAATAGGCTCGCACATAGATCAGCTTACAAGTTACACAGAATTACCCAAGCAGACCCATGAAAACCCATGGTATCCCACAGCTCTGACTTTCATAGTAACTACCTCGTTTGTTCCAAGGTAGGTTGGAGTGACTAGGGTATTTCTAAAGATAGCTCTGTTTTATCTAAAGAAGAGGTAATTTATAATCTAGGAGTGGCTTTTCTTGTTTTCGTTGAAAGGAAGGAAGAAAAGAAAAGAAAAGAAAAGAAAAGAAAAGAAAAGAAAAGAAAAGAAAAGAAAAGAAAAGAAAAGAAAAGAAAAGAAAAGAAAGAAAAAAAGAAACTGACAAACTACAAAATAAGCCCTCTGTTTCCCCATGTGGTTTAAAGTACTTTTCCAGTCATTTACTCAGAGGAAGTGATGCGCTAAAGCAGCGGTTCTCAACCCTTTACACCCCAAAGAACTTTTATTTATGTGGGTTATATCTATCAATGTTTACTATATTAGAAATTAAAACTGAAAAATTAAAACATTGTTATTGATTCATTTTAAAAGAACAATAGAAAACTCATTACATGTTAATATAAAATGTTTTTAATGAAAAACAGCTGTTTTTTGGAGCAAAAATAGTTTAGTGAGGAGATGTTGTAAATCTCTTTATTGTCTGCCTTAACAGGAGATAGTTGGATTCTCAGATCTGCTTCTGTATTCATTCTGTTGCAGTATCACATATAGTCTCTAGAAAAAAACACTGTATGTTCTTGAGAAGATGAAAATGAAACAAATCATATTTTAGAATTATTATGAAAAAGTTTTTGTTTTTTTTTAATCCTCACCTGAGGATATTTTTTTCCATTGCTTTTTCAGAGAGAGTGGAAGGGGGAGAGAGGGGGGGGAATCAGTGTGAGAGAGACACATCGAGTGGTTGGTTGCCTCCCGCTCATGCTCACTTGGGGCTGAGCCTGCAACTGAGGTACATGCCCTTGACTGGAATCCAACCTGGGATCCTACGGACTTTGGGAAGACGCTCTACCCACTGAGCCAAACTGGCTAGGGCGATGAAAAAGTTTTGACTTCACAGACTCCCCTGAAAGAGTCTTAAGGACCCAGGGGTCCCGGTTGATACTTTGATAACTGCTGCTTTAGAGGATCCATGCCACCTTTTGTTGGAAACAGATTCATTCCCATGAGTCCTGGGTGTTGTGCTATAGCCCTGGCACTTCACATACTTCCTAGTCTCTCTGGAAGCCAGGGGAGATGAAAGAGAGCATAATTATTCCCTTGCTGCTCTAAAATCAACTATTCAAACAGATGTGGTATAAGCCATGGGGATAGTAGATTAATGTACTTAAAAAGGAAAGAAAGTGATCTGTTACCTTTTCTTACTACCTGGTGAATTGGGTGCAATATGGATATCTGTGACAGGGTTGCAAAAGGTAGGGTGTGAGATGGAAATCCTGGGATAACGGTGGATAGGGATTGCCTTGCTAATCAGTTTGCACTTCCTTTGTTTTGGTGATCAATTTCTTTGCTTCTAACCAGTGACTGTGTACTGGGATTCTAACTCTTACTGAAATTCTGCGTGGAACAAGTGGTGTGGGCCCTAGAGTGAGGAACAAAACCAGACCTGCAGTCCATCTCAGGTCACTGAGCTATGTGTTTACCATGGTTCCTTGAGCCTGGGATGCGGCTTTGTCCACCTGTGGGCCCTCACATACTGTCACCACTTTATTATGGCCCAGGTCAGCTCTGGGCAGTGGTCAGCTAAATTGACAGGAGACCTGAATGCTAGACAAAATCGGGTGGGGGGGTGTGTGCTTTGAAGGGTGTTTTATTTCTGAGTTTTTCCAGGGCTATTGTGCCATTTAAAAGAGTCCTTGAATGACATACTGTCTTCCTCTGAGAGGCCACAGATGGTACCTCCAGTGAGCAAGGATGCTGCGGAAGATCTGCAGAAAGCGGCCAGTGCCTTGGAGGCTCAGGCCTTGGTGGAACAGGAATTGCAGCCTGCAGACCAGGCCCAGGTCCTCAACAAGGTAGGGAGCACATTCTCGCTCTCTCTTTGAAAGGCACCAGAGTTTAGATACATAGGGATGGGTTGGAATTAGAAAGCACTGTGAGGATGGCTCCCAGAATTCTCCTTGCTCTCTTTGGGCATCTCATTTTTAATTATTTGGAGAACGATCATGTGTATCTCCCACAGGACCCATCACTGTCCTAGCACCCAGTAGAATTATTTTAAAAATTATTTAAAAAATGAAGCATTAGAATGAATGCTTACATGTTGTCTAAAATCTCAGTGTGAAGAGCTTTAAACCATTGGACTGTCTTTTAGTCTCACTTGTCTTGTGGTGGATCTACTCAGTATTTATGGTAAAGATTCCATAGAAATGGCACTAATAGCAGTGGTCTTCCTGCCATGGAAGAATGGGTTGCTTGAATCATTAACATATATATTGTAATAACAAATGGTAGTAGTGTCAGTAAAGATAATGGCAAACATTATAATTACATTTGTATAATGCGTTAGAGTTCATAAAGCATTTATCCACAATGCTTCATGTACTCCTGAGAACAACCCTGTGAGATCAGTACCATTATGTCCCCACTTTACAGATGTAGAAAATGAGGCTAAGAGCTGTTAGTTACTTTATTAAGGATATGTAGCTAATAAAGTTACAAGCTAAGTTCTTTGTTTAGCCTTCTGGAAAAGGAAGGACTCATTTAAGCAAGTTAGCCACAGTCTGATTCACCTCATGTAACAATGGCGTTAAGAACTGAAAGACTGCCCTAGCTGGTTTGGCTCAGTGGTCAGAGTGTTGGCCTGAGGACTGAAGGGTCCCAGGTTCAATTCCAGCCAAGGGCATGTACCTCGGTTGCAGGCTTGATCTCTGGCCCCGGTCAGGGCATGTGCAGGAGGCAGCCAATTGATGTGTCTCTCTCACATCGATGTTTCCCGTTCTCTCTCCCTTCCACTCTCTCTGAAAAGCAGTGGAAAAAATATCCTTGGGTGAGGATTAAAAAAAAGAACTAAAAGACTTATTCTCCAGAAACAGATAGTATGAGAGTATAGTCTGGGAGGATTACAAAATTTTTAAATTTGTTTCTTGCAAGTATAAATCTCGTCTCTTAACTGGACTGCTTTCTCACTGATGGGCTCTCCTGTGTTGGCAGTAATTATATTACTTGTGTTGCCTGCTGACTGGAGAAGGAGCAGAAAATTAAGGCATATAGCATGAAACTGGAACACGAATCTGAGTGATTTGAAGTGAGACCCACGAGGGAGAGATTTCAGGCTCCTGCCATGGTTATTGAGGGCTTCGAGTATCGAGTGACATTTGTATTCTTTCATGCAGGTTAGATGGCTGGCAGCAAATACACTGTGTAAATGCAAATCCTGGGGCTGGTCTGAGGGGAAGTTATATTTATTTATAGAACACTGATACCGGATGAGACAACTGATAGGATAAGACATCTACAGTGTGCTGTGGATGAGACAGACAGAGACAATAAACTGGGTTCTCTCTATAGTGCTTTGGTAAATGATTGCTAGTGATCTGGAAGTAACCCTTGAATGGGAACTGTAGCAGGAGAATTGTGTGGCAGAGTGGGACGTTGAGCCAAACCCTGGGTGCAAGAGCTGTCATGAGTGAAGCTGCAGGGAGGTACTGTGTAGGCTGAGGTGAGGTCGAGGCATGGCCCAGAAACGCTGCTAATGCAGAAGTCAGTAGCAAGCTTTGAAGATGTTTGTGGGCAAGGATTTTATAAAGTGTCTCGAGTAGGAAAGTTGCCAAAGGTAGGAGAGAACAAGAGCCTTTAAATTAGGGAACATTTTGGTGGCATTAAAATAATTAGAATTTATTAGCAACCTGTACTTGGAGGAAAGAGAAGGAATGGTGACTATCACATTAGGCTTAGAGTTGGGAGAGTGGAGTCTGCCACTCTAACATGTTCTCTCACCAGAATTCTGTTGTGCAGATGGCTAAGTATCAAGCTCCAAAGAGGTCTGGGGACATCGTTATGATCCAGTCTGAGCACACGGGAGCTATAGATATTCTTTCAGCGGATTTGGAATCTGCAGACCTTCTGGGGGACCACAGGAAAGGTAAGACCTTTGGTAGTATGGAAGGTGGTTTGTCTGTTTCCAGCGGGCACTTAAAGAAAGGCAGGCAGACAGATGAAAGGTAGGAAAGAAATTGTCTTGTGAAAAGAAGTCCAAGAAGCCGGTAGAAAGAATGTTGCCTGCGACAACCTCCCTAAGCAAAATGCCAGACGTGGCAGCTTTTCCTCTTGGTTTCCTCTTGGTAGTAAGATGCCTATCCTTTCAGTCTCCCCGCCACTGATGGCTCCTCCGTGCATCTGGACCTTTGCCAAGATGAAGGAATTCAAAAGCAAGCTGGGCAAAGAGAAGAACACCTGCTTGGTGGTGAAGCGGGGTGAGGTGGTGACCATCCGGGTTCCTACCCATCCAGAGGGGAAGCGTGTCTGCTGGGAGTTTGCCACCGATGACTATGACATTGGCTTTGGAGTTTATTTTGACTGGACCCCTGTAACCAGCACTGACATAACTGTGCAGGTCAGTGATTCGAGTGAGGATGAAGATGAAGACGAGGAAGAGGAGGGGGAGCTGGAAGGTAAATTTAACTTTAACATAGTTTGAAGTTTCAACCTAATATCTAGTGACCGCTTCCTGTGTTGTGTGAGTCCTCCTGTTCCTTAGAGTGTAGGCGAGGAATCTCTTTCAGCGTCGCCAGCTGAGTTAAGTGATGCTGGCCAAAGTCGGACCCTCAAAGAGCATTCTGATGGGATTGGGTTGATGCCTTAGTGGAAAACTTTTCCTTTTAATCAGCACCTGCTGTTTCCCCAACATCTCCCTTGGGACAGGGAAGCGGGCGGGGCAGTGCTGTTGTGTATAGCCGCCGTGTTTTTCAGGTCACATATAAACCTGAGATTATTTTTCATTTCTTTCTTAGTTTTACAATATTTACATTTATTCTTGGCCTGGAATTAAATTCAGTGATTACAATTTGCTAAATGTACCCATTCTCACCCCCCGCAACACATGGTCACAGCTGTCTGACTACTACTTACTTCTTTATTTCATATCTAGAGCAGTTTTATTTTAATTTTTTAATTTAAATTTTTTGTATATCTTTATTGATTTCAGAGAGAGGAAGGGAGAGGGAGAGAGAGATAGAAACATCAATGATGAGAGAGTCATTGATCGATTGGCTGCCTCCTGCATGTCCCCCACTGGGGATCGAGCCCACCACCCAGGCATGTGCCCTGACTGGGAATCAAACTGTGATCTCCTGGATCATAGGTTGATGCTCAACCGCTGAGCAATGCCCAGCCTGGCCCTAGAGCAGTTTTAAAAGTACTCTCTGTGCTCCATTCTAGTTGTTACTTGCAATACCTTCTCAGGATGACCATGAGGCATTTTGCGGTGAGGAGGTGGTGTTATAATATGAGAATAGGTTCTAAGCATTAGCTTTATTCCTTGATTTTCATATGTTATCTTAAAGTCAATTCTGTAACTTACTTTTTCATGGATAAGCAAGTCCGCAGGGAAATCTTAAGGTATTTAGGGAAAAGGAGAACTTCATATCTTGTTTGCTGCTCTTTAGGAGGCCAAGTGGAAGTTCTCGGTCACTCTGTACAGTGTCTTTGTCTGCATTCTCTATTTCCATTAGCTAGTTCTTTCCCCTGTTAAATGAAAGGATGTGAGAATCTTCCCTTCTAGATATGTTTTTCTCTCCCTTTCTGTCCAGACACTTCTGGAGCTAGGTAGGTTCCATAAGGCTAAACCCTTTGTTTCTCAGTGGAGGCGTTATTGGCATCTGGGGTGGGATGCGTTTGTTGTGCAGGCACTATCATGATGTTTAGCACTTTAGGACCCTTGGATCACCCAGACATTTCCACATTCCTGTAGGAGGGCAGTAGCACCCCCACTGGGTGAAAGCCACTAGTTCACCTGGACCATTCTCTGATTTTCAGGTAGGACTTAGGTATGGGCTCTGAACTCATGTCCGAACACTCTGCCATTTTGCTCATGCAGACCCTGTCCCAGTTGGAGATGTGGAGAGAGGCTCCAGGAGCTCCCTGCGGAGTCGCTATGGGGAAGTCATGCCTGTATACCGACGGGACAGCCACCGAGATGTGCAGGCTGGCAGCCATGACTACCCTGGCGAGGGCATCTACCTGCTCAAGTTTGACAACTCCTACTCCCTGCTACGCAACAAGACTCTCTACTTCCACATCTACTACACTAGCTGAAGGCCCTTGGGGACTGGGCAGGTGGTGTTTGCTGGCTGAGTAGGCTGCCAGCTGGTGCCTCTTGTTTTGACAGGCAAGAGCTCGAAGTTGAGCGTGAGGCTTCTGACCCTCATGCCCCACCTGGCATGCCTGACTGTTGACCCCACATAGCTTTTCCCCATCCCTGGCTTCTGCAGGTGGTGGTGTGGTGCCCCTGTTCTGTGGTCCCTGAACTCACACTCTTCTTGCTTCAGACTCCAGCAAAATCCCTCTGTGAAGGTGCCCATCAGGCAGAAGCCTAAAAGCAAGTTGGGTGTTTTCTTTTAAAGATAGGTTTTGGTACAAGGTGTATTCCAATTGCTGCTCTCTCTTCTGCCAGAGCTTTTATTGCAGATGTGGTCGGTGGTACCCTCTCTCCTTTTGGAAGTGCTGGAAGGGGAAAAGCATATTGTGCATGAAGGAGCCCCGTTTCCTGGCTGGAGAAGGCTCTGTCCAGCCTCTCAGCACTGCCATATTCCTGCCTGCTGGTTCTCCGTGGTCTCTAGAACTGGCTGGGAGCCCTCACAGCCTTTGAGGGGTATTATTAGCCCATTGGCTCGCCTCTGCCTCTTTGCCGCCTCTTTTCCCTTTCCAGGCCTGTGTGTTTGCCATCACAGCAAGAACTTCGGTGCAATCCAAAGTGATGATCAATGTAACTGGGATCCTCTGGGAAGGAAAGCTGCCTCCATCACTTCCTGTTTGAAGAGGCAGTGTCTCTTACCAAGGACACTAGTGGTTGAGGGGGAAGGGTGCCAGCTATGTACTGGATCGATGCCAGAACCCACATCTTTGAAAGTCAAGTGTTACTAACTTTTTTCTTTTTTTTTTTTTGTATAGTCAAACAAGGGGTATCATCTGAGAGAGAAAGTTTAAAAAACACACACACAAAACACCCAGATTCCCCACCGTTTTTTTCTTTCTTTAGAGTAGGAATGTTATTTAGAAATTTTGCTTTGGAACCAATCCGACTTCCCAAGTTTCTGTGTTTAGGTTTCTTGCAAAGGGGGCTTCAAGCTTTTGATGTTCCGAGTCTCCTAGGAAAGGTGGCAATGAGCTTCATTGTTGCTGCTGATTGGCTGTGTTCTTCCCTGGTGATGGCCTTTGCCACCCAGGAGTGCCGCAGGGTGCCGCAGTCAGTGGTCACCTCAGCAGCAGGGTGGCGGGTCCTCAGGCAGAGAAGGGGCCACGGCACTTGTTGGTACCTTCTTGTTTCTTATTCCTTGTGTCAAGTCTGTTACTGCCTTAGAATTTTGAGGAATAATTAGATTTATTTATTACTTTATTTATTTATGCTAACACATTTCATTTTGTCTTTGAAACAGTTTCCATCTGTTTCTTAGGCGGCTTCCGTCCGCTCTGAGCCATTGAGCAACTTCCTCTGTGGAGTTGATGACGATTTTAGGAGAAGCCGGGAAGTGATCATGTTCCATTCCTGCAGGTCAGTCCCTGTGACGCTTTGGGAGGAACCTGCCCCTTCTGAAATGGGCGATGCTAACCTACCCCAGCATCCCCTGTGCAGAAGTCTAGGTTGTGAGGAAATCTGCCCATTTGCCTCTGGTTGAGTGTAGAGGACTTGACTAGCCAATCAGAGATGTCCTGTGATTCCAGGATGTCAGTCTTTTGCCTGCTCTGAAGAGTCACCTTCATGCGGTGTTTCCTCTGGCTCATTCCTTCCTTGGTGGGTGCCTTGCACCAGGCCTCTCTTACATATAGGAGCAGGAAATGGAAGAACAGGGCTCCTCAAAATAGGTGTGTAGTAGCATCTGCTACATGAACAAAGGGTGATACAGCCTTCACCTTCTATTTCTCTGGGAGCAGAGCCCGAAGTAGGTGGGACATTGTGGACTGCCATAGCATCCCCCTTCTCTGAGCAGCATCACACCGCCATTATTTTATATTCGAGTACATTTTGTAGAGGATTACACTAGCCAAAATTTATATACTTTGTAAGAAATTAGAATTTATTTTAGTGACTATTTGGACAGCGAAAACCAGCTTGCTGTGCGTCAGCCCATCAGATAGCCGAGTGACCACTCTTTCATCACATTAGCCTTTGCTAATATAATCTTATAAAATAATTTTCTACTGAGCTGTTCTCCAATCAGCTGAAGCTTTGCTTATTTTTCCTGCTTATTACTAACTTCTGACTTTCTCTTAAAATGGAGCTGCCAGGCCATAGCAAGCTCCCTGGATAAAACTTATTATTTTTGCCATGAGAGTCTCTATACTTATTTTCCTTGGAATCCTAGTTGTGTTGCATCAGGGAAGCCTGAGGGACTTGTTCCCGTCGCCTCTATGTGCCTCTTACTGTCTGGTCACTTTTGAAGTTCTGGACGTGGCTACATTTCATTCTATACTGATGTTGCCCTGACAGTCAGGGTTTCTCTGTTCCATTTGCATAAAATAGCTAAAAGAAGGTATTTTTTAATTCATTCACTATTCTCATATTAAATTTCTGAAATTATTGAACTGTGGGGACAAAATATTATTTACTGAAGCACAGGTAATTACTGAGAATTTCACAGCCCAGCAGATCTTGAGAGGTAGTTATTTCCTTAGTCTCTCCCTATACAAGTTTAGGGAACCAAACAATGAAAAGACAAATGATTTGTTTTCACCTTCCCCCTGTCCTCTAGGGCACAAATAAATATTAACAAACAATAGAAAGAAAGTACTTACTTCATCTTAAGAGAGAGACTAGAATTCTCTACACAGAGTGACTGAATCCTTAAATTTCTTCAGTTTATTTAGTTTTGCTACTTTGTTGAGAGATGGCTTTTAGAAAGGAAGACATGTTTAAAGGGCTAAATTTCTCAACATTTACTATGAAAAATTTCCAGGAAAATTTTTAAAAGAAATGTATAGTAAACGTCCTTACGTATACCACTACCTAGATTTTAAAATTATAAGCTGCTAATTTTTAGGCAAAGATGATTCTACCATTCTGTTCCTTTTTACAAGTGTCCAATTAGTGTATGTCCCCTGCACAGACATCAGCTCTCCTGTGTCAGAGAGCTCCTGCGTCTCTGCAGACTTGTTTCATTCAACATGAGTTACCTGGAAGGCGGTCCTCACAAAAGTGTTCCCTGGTCTCCATCTTTCAAACTCACGCTGTATTTCCCCTCTCTCTCAGACTGTCATTTCTTCTGTTTTCTTCTCCAGCATGCCAGCGATGGAGTGAGGTAGTTGTGAAGCTGCTGTGGAAGGACTTTATTCTAATCTCTTTGCTTTATGAGACATCTTCAGGATTCTGAAATTACAACTCAATCCTCAGACATTATGTAGCTTTATGATGAAAGTAGGTAGCAACTTGAAATAAAACCATTCCTATTTTTTTCTTGATTTGATTCATGCACTTTAAAAATATTTTTATCTGTTACTTAGGAAAGAAAATCTCAGACTTTTAAAATGTACATATTGTCACCTATAATATGTATGTGGAAGAATTAAAACTGAAAGCTCACTGTCTTATATTAATCAGTGGGATTAGATATTACTGTAAAATTTATAGAAAATACCTGAGTTAATGTGTTTTTGATGAGCCTTCCCAGTCCCTCTTTGAAAGAATTAGGTGAAACCCAAACCCCAAAGTCTGTATTTTTATATTTATTTTTTAAGATCACTTTTCTGCAAAAGGTTGACTTTTAACTCCAAAGTATGTAGTCCTCAGATACGTTGTTGAGTGACCCTAATTTACATAAAAGACTTGTTTTAGAGGAAGCGACATGAGTGAAACAGTTGTGTATGGCTTGAGAACTGCCTCTTTAAATTGATAGTAAGGAATGAAAACAATGAAATGAGAAGAGAGGAAAGCTATCAAATGTATCCTGGAATTTTACTCATATCTCAACTTTTTTTAGTTCTTTAGTTTGTGTTTTAGTCATTGGAGTTGTTCTTAAGCCAGAAGTCTCCCTGGTTCTCCTTGTGCTTATTCTAGAAAAACCCACTTTGCTGTCTTTCCCAACAGGACTGACTTTAGAAATGTTTTTGAGTAGGTCTCTTATGCTGAGTATAATCCTGACCTGAGGATTGATTTCATCTCTGTCTTCTCTGGGACTTACAAGTCTAGTGCCATGAAAAAAGATGGCGAGTTTAGGAAGAAGCTAGTTGGAATTCCAGCTTGTCACTGTAGCCCCAGTTGGTTTTGCCTATGGCCAAGAAAGGGGTGAAATAGGTTAATTTTGACCAACAACATAGAAGAGTCTCAATCCATGAGTGTGTTTGTGAACAAGCTGTGTCCTGTAGGCTGACCTCCCTGGGATCACCGTTGTCTTTACTCTGGGTGGGCTGGTCATACACATAGTAGTGAACGGATCCTGTTAGAGCTCCCATTTAGATTTTCTCCTGGGTCTAAAAGATCCACATGAAACTGTAACTGGTCTCTTTCTACCTGGCCAAAAGTGTAGGACTTCTGAATCTGCTGGAAAAGGGAAGTGCACCCTCCCTCTAGCATCTCAGTGGTTGAAAAGAGTTGGAAAGCGAGTTTGTCTGGAGGAAGGTAATTTCATTTTTGTTGCTGTGAGGGGTAGCTTGTTAAGGGATTTATGTTTTTTATAGAGCAAGTCATTCTGTTCGTTGTGTTTGTGCTCAGGGAGCGATGATGCATGATTCTTTGGGGGGGGAATCGGAATGGGTGTCTAAAGCCAGTCACAAGTCAGCACTTTCCAGCAGTCCAACATGTGGTGAGTGACCACGCCCAAGTCCCGGTCTTTACACACATGGGATCCTGTTCCTAGGTCCTCATTTCCACACAGCTGAGAGACAAAGAGAGGGACTAGCCTCCTTCCATTTCTTCCTGATGTTTTGGTTATTTCTGGTATTGTTTAGCACCAGTAGCATGATATCCGCGGCCTCAGTTTACCTGATTAACCAGAATTAAATAATAGTGATAATAGAGTAGTTAAAGCAATCAGTCATGGTTGGAAGTAGGACTTTGTTCTTTAAGCCAGAAGCCTCACTGGGAGGAAGGGTTATGACTTACAGTCCCGTATTGGGACAGCTGGGTACCTTGTGTATGACTGTGCAGCTGGAACTCTTGTTAACCCTACCAAGTGGGTGAAGAGGATGTGGCAGTGCTGTACTANAAGTTGAGTAGTTAAAGCAATCAGTCATGGTTGGAAGTAGGACTTTGTTCTTTAAGCCAGAAGCCTCACTGGGAGGAAGGGTTATGACTTACAGTCCCGTATTGGGACAGCTGGGTACCTTGTGTATGACTGTGCAGCTGGAACTCTTGTTAACCCTACCAAGTGGGTGAAGAGGATGTGGCAGTGCTGTACTAATGAGGACAACAAATTAATCGACTTGGCTAATAAATAGAGCAAGCGCTCCATCTGTGGGAACTATATTGTGACTGGTTGTAAGTGTAATATTGGTGGGAGTTTGTGGCTCCTCAGCATTCTCGGAGTCTCACTTCAGGGCCTACTCAAGGAGCCAGTCTCCTGTGGGCAGTGACTTTGGCATTCTGCAAAGGAGAAACTCCTGGGAGTTGATTCCTGGTGTCCTCTTTTCTGGGAATGGGGGAGGCCCTTAGGCAAGAACTGCTTTGGCTCTGTTGGTACCTGGTTATGGTCAGTGTTACCCCTTTGCTCGGTCTAACCAGTCCAGCACCTGTGGACACTTCTTAACACCTACCTAGTTATTTACATAATGAGGTTAGGGCAAGATTTGGGACCCAAAGGGTGAGAAACACTTTGCCTTGAGGCCACATTTCAGAAATCACTTCTCCCTCTGGAGAGTTGAGTTCTGCCTGAACCAGGAAGGCCCCTCCTGTTGAAATCTCTTCTCACCAAGCTGGGAAAACCCAATTAATTGCCTAAAGCCTTGATAGTGGGGCTCATTTACAAATAGTCATTCCCGCAAAAACTAAGTCCAAAGGCAAGACTCTTCGTCATAGTCCTGGTACTCTTTGAACTTGTGGTTTCTATTACATGGACTTCTCTTTCTTTTAGGCCCCAGGCATGTGGAGCAGAGTTAATTTCATGGCTCTTCACTCTCAGAGATGAGGAAAAGGTGCCCCAGCCATCTCGAGACACAGACCTTCTAAATTAAATCCCACAGTTTCATGTTGCTTTAAGCAGGTAGTTTTGGCTTATCTGGGGGTAAAATATTATATGTGAAATGATTTTCAGGGAACAAAGTATATTTTCTAAAAGTTCTGATATAGGGTCAGGAACAATTCTAAAGTTTTGGCTTGAACTGCTCTAGTTTATAGGGTTACAGTAGAGCTTTTAACTGGCAGTCACTTTAAGGAGGTCCCCTGAACTCTCATCCTCACTTAGGGTTCAGATGCCTTGTCTGTGATGTTCCTTGTGTTTGGTTGTTATTGTTGATTTTTAGGTTCAGGCAAGAGTCATCTGGAAAACATTATCTTAATTCCTTCTCTTATGCCCTAAACAGTCCATATTAAAAACTCCACTAACATCCCTGTCTGAGATTATTGTCCCATAAATGAAATTTTTTGTTGGTGTTTAATCAAGTTGGATTATTTCCATTTAGCCATGTTCAAGAGCAAGTCCAATCCTGTAACCCATGACTGGTGTACCCATCCATGTTCCCTTAATAATGGGAGATGTTTTCAAGTTCCCAGAAGAAAGCTGCTTTGTAATCAAAGTGATGGGTTATAAGAAAGCCAGATGTTGGATAAGGGTAATTGGAATAGAGGAATGTACTTGAAGATTTCCTAAACTACTTTATGCCATTAAGCTTATTTCTGAAAGGTCTGCTTAGGTGCCATGCACTGAGCTCAGGCAGTCGATTGAAAGATGACCCCACTTTCCTGGTAAATATTTAAGCGATTGGCAACCACAAAGGTATTCTTTCCTTATTGTTCTGTATCCTGTACTGACGCTGACATTACAGAAAGGGCCAGAAAGGGAAACTGTCTTTTATTTAAAATAGAGAATTATCTCAGCCAATCATTCATTGCAACTTATTTTACATGCACCCTCTCACAAGAAATGCTGTCACCCTCTCCTGTGATTTCTAAGTTGAGAGCTCTGTTCCAAATTGTTATTTAATCATTTCGTCCTGCTGAGTGGTTTTTCCTTTAAAACGCCATGTCTTACCACCCCGTGGCATTGAATGTGTTGCTGTGATACACAGACGATCCTGAGCTATGGTTCTTTAACTAGCTCAGCCTTGTGTTTTTATATTATGTAACGGTTTTGTGATGCTTTTGTGCACTTTGTCTTCTTTTCCAAGTTTTGAAATCTGTCATAAATAAACTTTTTCACTATGCACCTGAAACATTTGAGTTATATCTTAACCTGATTTACATTTAAATTTTTTTATTCATCTCGCCTCTGCATCTTAAATGGAAAGGTATTCTATAAATTTAATCTATTGAGGTTATACAAATTAAGAAAAATTGACAATTAAGAAAAAATTGAGAATCAGGTTAATGATAGTTCTCTCAGCTGTATTTAAATTCATGGCAGAGTATTATGAACTGAGAGCTGGGTTTGGCCCAAGAGGGAAAAATTGGGTTTAGAGTAATGAATACTAAATAGAATGTTATTGAGTTTTGTCAGTATTTGGCTCCCAGTGATGTTCATTTTTCAGTGAATTAACTTACTCTGTTCAAATCTGGAACCAGTACTTTGGACACCAGGGTAGTCATTAACTTGGCCTCAGTGATATTAATTTAGCCTGTTTTTATTTACAAAAATGACACCATAAGATATCTTTGAACCCAGCTGGCATTGCTCAGCATTTGAGCATCGACCTATGATCCAGGAGATTGCAGTTCAACTCTCAGTCAGGGCACATGCCTGGGTTGTGGGTTCGATCCCCAGCAGGGGACGTGCAGGAGGCAGCCAATCAATGACTCTCTCATTGATGTTTCTCTCTCCCTCTCCCTTCCTCTCTCTGAAATCAATTAAAAAATATATATGTGATATCTTAGACATCTCTTCTTACACTGCTGCCTCTGCATATCCCTGCTGTGTTTCAGAATGAGGACTCACAGCTGAGCAGGGAGTGGTACCATTTAAATATTTTCTTCAGTGATATCTGTGGTTCCAAGATGAGCCTGTTTGATCTTTTCTGCTTTCCTTTGCAGCATATTTTAGAGGCTGTTGTATCAAGGAGGAAGAGATCTGAAATAATTGGGAGTTAAATGATATAATCTCACCAAACTACTCCACAACCAATAATAAAAAGCCCAGGCAGATTGTATGTAGCTAGGGATCTTGAGTGAGTTATGTTTGGATATGCCAAATACATCACTGCCAACACATACCATACTGAAGATTATTTCTTAATTTTTAATGGCATTCATATCTGTCACATCACTGACCCTGACATAGTTCAGGATTATATAAGGCAGCTCACACACTGCAGCTCTTGACATCCAGCTGGTGGTCTATAACCCCTGAGGTTCTGGCTACATGCAGCAGCTAGCTTAGTTCAGGTATTCTCCCAAAGCAGAAGGATGCATGCTGTGACCTTGGATCAGGAGCTAAATAGTGTTTAAAGTTAGGAGGAGCCAATAAAATGAATACTTATCTCTTGAATGTGTGTATCCACCTGTTTGTCCAATAAGTTTACTGTTTTCCTTAGTGGGTATGTAAAATTGCTTTGGAACAAAATCCTGTATTTTTTGCTTTGTTCTCAAGTTCTTCCTGCTTTCATCCTTCTAAAGTATTTGCCAGGACTTAACTGCTTCCATCTAATCACCAGTATCAGGCTACGCCGACATGTGTTGTTCATCCACTGTGGCCACACGCACTGTGGGGAGACTGCAGATCACACTCCTTGTGGCCTCTTGCCTACCAGGATCAGGTGCCTGCTGATCTTCACAGATCTAACAACTGATGTGACTTTACCACTCACTCAGCCTTTGGAAAGAAGCCCCTACTGGAAAATACCCCCTAAATTTAGGTGGTGGTTTTGGGTTGAGAGACACATTTGACCCCTGAAAATAAGAATTTATCTGCAGACTGGAAGGAGTCTCAGAGGAGGTAATCTTCAAATCCCTTTGTAGAAGCTTAATTATTGCTAAGCCTTGGAGCTGTTTGGTCTGACCTCTAGAGAAAAGTCTATGCACTTGGGGAAATATTTGCTCCTTCATGATCTTTTAAGGCCCCCAAAGGAGGAAAGAGACATTGAGGGAGGCCACCCACGGTTGCACAGGAAGGATATCTTTCATTGAACACACATTTATGGAGCAGGGGTAGTCACCTTGCTAGGTACTTGGGTAACTGAGGGAAGACAGGAGTGCAGCCCTAGAGGAGCTTGTGGGAACGCCGCCCTCCTGCAGGGAAGATGGTGTAGAAATGCATTCTCTTACTCCCTAAGCACAGCTAAGTTGTGTAGGAATAGAGAGGGTTCTCCTCTTTCATGTATCCAGCCTCAGGTCCCTATGGGGAGGGGCTGGAGCCGACAAAATCTCAGGTCTCCAGGTGAGCAGCTAACCATGTTGGTGACCTGGACTCCATGGAGGCCCCAGAGCTGGGAACAGATGATAGTCTCCCTCTAGCTCAACATTGCAGGCCCAGAAACCAGACAGACTGTTCTCCTTTCTCATTAGCTGTGGTTATTTAGTGAGGACACAACCTGTACTCATTCCACTGGCCCCTTTCTTCCCCCAGCACACACTTCCTTTCCATCCTTCAGTTGACCCTGAGCTGGTGGCTCCCTGGGCCTGCCTTCTCTCTGCAGCCCTCCCAATTCCATCTTCCCAACTCTCCTCACTTCCTCACAGCCCTAGCCCCTGAAACCCACAGGAGACATTAGAAAAGTTGTTGCAGGTCCTTGAGTGCTAAGTTGGTCCTGGCTTGGTTCTCTCTTTGGTTCTAGGTGAAGGCAGCAAGAATGTCCCAGCCCTGGTCTTGAGACCAGCTTATGATGCTACGGACTAAGTAGAGAGCTTCCACGGCTTAGATTCTAGCTTTAAAGTGTAGAAATCTCCTTTATAAAAACATCATGAGACAAGGAGATGGACTGTTTTCAAGGCAGTGCAGCTGAGAACTACAAAGGTTTGGTCAGTCACTTCCTCTGGGTAGCACAGGTAATCGAAGTGGGAATACTGGCAAGAACCCCGCACTTTCCAGGTGAGTCACCTCAGAGGAGCCTAGAGTGGATTTCTTTGGCTTAGATACCTTTCTGTTTATGTGGGGAAGGGCATTTTAGTCTGGGTTGGGGGAAAACCAGTGAGAAAGGAGGGCCTCAGGAATGTCATTGGACCCCAAGGATCTCTGCTGAGACCAGAGGAAAAGCCACAGCATTTGTTCTCTACTCTCCCCACCCACGCAGGGCTGATTTCCACGTTTCATTTGACACATACCAGGAAACTCCTGTTGAAGGAGGGGACCCAAACTGTGGGAACGATGGGGAAAATATGTAAAAGGAGTTTTGTGCATTCGGTGAGGGATGGTTTCTAAATGTTTGATAACGGAGGCTCTATGGCCTCCATTAAGCTTTTGCCATCAATTTTAGGATGGCTAAAGGAGCCCCAGGTTAAACAGGTTAATATTCTGATACTGTTGGGGAAAAGACCTGAGTTTAAAATTATGTCAATTCTTAGAAGTTATCTTGGGTGAGACAAGCAGATAGGCAACAGACCTACAATGAGTGGTAGAGTTAGTCCGCCGATTAAATTTCCAGGAGTAAGTAGACGGATGTAAGCTCCGTGAGAGCAGGGGCCCTGCATGCCACATTCCCAGTTAGATACCCACACAGCCCAGCTCCCAGCCTGTGGGGCCACCTGGGAGGGGCTCAATGCATGCTGCTGGACTGGATGGAGGGAAGTGGAAGTCCATTACTAGCAGGAGTAGGACAGACACGATTGGTTTCTTCTAGGAAAAATCCAGGTTTACTTCTCATCATGCCTAGTTCTCTCCAGAATCATTCAGGGCAGAGGGATTGGTCTGTTTTTGTCCCTTATCCTAGATGTGGATTCTATCAGTTTCCCTCACTTCCCAGAAGTCTCTTGGGCTTCTCTGTTACCTGGAGATGAGACTGGGAGGCAGAAGGGGTGGGGGAGCCTTGTAACCTCAGTGGTGTTGGAAATTGTTTTAATCACTGGGGCTCCCAAAGGCCTGCTGGTGAAAGGCAGAGCCAGCTGCCGCCTCAGTCCCAGGAGAGTGGCAGCAGCACCCCATCTGGCCAAGCCTAGCCCCTTTGGCTTGCCTGCTGCTCCTTGCTGATCCCTTGTCTCTTCTCCAGGGCCTGGGAGGCACACTGCTGTGGGATTTGTAGGAGCACAGCCTGAAGTGTGGGGCTGCCCTCCTTTCCCAAGTTCATTGTCTAAAATCCACAGTTTTCATCATCATCTATTTCAAATGCCCAAATCAGGTCATGACTCCTGATAACCAGGCTGAGAAGATTAGTCGTTGTCTCAAGTAAAGGTTTCTTGGAGAGAGGCCAGGTTAGCCTCATCCAGCCAGGCAAGTCCAGAGTAACCTGAGAAAAGGGTCCAGACAGCAGCAAGGTAGGATAGGACGTACCATTGAGTCTCCTCCTCAGTGCTGTGTCTTAACTACTTTCCTGCTATGCTCTCTGGCTCTACCAGGACAAACTCACCTCGAGAACGAGAGTGGCCCACTTTGGTCATTCTAGAGCCTGGAACCCAGGTCATCTAAGAGAGGAGAGGCCACGAAGGAGCTCAGGATGAGAGCACAGAACTAGATACCCTGGGGTCATGGCCAAGAAAGGTGGCTTCCATTTGAATCAGACACATATACCTTAATTCCCTGTTTAAACTTCAGCCATGTAGGGGAAATGCAATAGCAGGTATGGAACATAAGGGACCCCAATCTCCCGACAACATCTCTGCCAAGCGGTGATTCTGGTTCCAGTTGAACACTGCCAGGCATGGGAACTAAAGGTACACTGTTACCTGGTTGGTCTCCTGAGCTAGTCTGGTCAATAGCTGTTCCCACTGCCCATGGAGGAGGCTGCGTGCAGTTCCCGGACCATTCATTCATGATTGGATTTACTCTAATCCTAGACTGCTCCAGAGAATGCTGCCTCTGAAGGTGAGGGACTTGGTTGAAGGGCCAGCTTCCTGCTCGGTGCTGGAGTGGAGCACTTAACAAGGGTACCATTCCTAGCCCTGGGAACTCAGCTGGTCACAAATACTTTCTTTCCTGTTTCTTATATCTCTTCTGGATCTTGTCTGATTCTCCCAGGCAATCTTTTGGGTTTAGGTCCCAGAGGCCAGGCCTACCACAGGGTGGGCAAGGGGCTGCTGACTTCCTCTCCTGGTCCAGGCATGGGAATTCCAGCTAGAAAGAATGTTCATCTTCGGGAACTGCTTTAACTGAAAACTGAACATCTTAGCCTTGACTGAACAAGCGGGAGGCCTGGGCTTCAGTTTAGTGATCAAATTGCAGGGTGGACATTATTTGGAGTCAGGTACAGTGGAGGGGATGAGAGGAGGCACACAGACTTCCTTATGGCTCTCTGGTAGACTTGCAGGCAGTTTAGTCTGCATTCTCACTTCACCTTAATGACTGCACCATGACATAGGGAGCAGGTAATGTTCCTGCCTCCCTCCCTCACCACACCCTCTCACCCCACCCTGACTGCATTTGAAAGATGAGGGGATGAAGGCAGAAAGAGGTTCATTGTGAAGGCAGAACCAGGGCTACAGTTCAAGTTCAAGGGCTGAGTACAAGTCTCCTGCTTCTCCAGTTAGGGCTTGCTCATTTCCAGACTGTTCAGCCCACACAGCTTCCGCTCCTGCACCAGTGGGGCATGGTCTGAGTGTTAGGCCCTCAACTCGGCGGGGGTGTCTGGCTGCCGGCAGGGGTGAGACACTTGGAAGGCCTCCAAGGCCAGCAGTGACTTGTTGATACGGCTGATGGTAGGGTAGGGAGCGAGATCCACCTTGAACCTGTCAGAGAAACACCCACCTCAGCCAAGGTCTGCAGGGGTACGAGGATACTGCCCTGGGGGAAGCGAGGGAAGCACAGAGGGCAGGCCTGGAGGAGGCCCCTGGGGATGGCCAGCGAAGGGCTAGGAAGGTGGCCCTGCCAGGTGGGGAAGACTTATTCACAGATAGCTCTCTGGGGAGGGGTAGCTCTGATGCACTATCATCTGGTGTCTTTGTTGCCTACTGTTCCTATTCCAAGCAATGGCTATTTATTGAGAGCCTACTATGTGTAAGACACAGTGCTAGGCATTTATGTACACAGCTTATCTCTCCACTGCGTCATAAGCTTCCTGGGGGTAGGGAACGTGTGAAACATTTCTGTATCCCTATGGGTACCTAATGCAGCGCCTTCCACAGAGAGGTTCTCACACATGCCTTCCTGAAGGGCTGATGGAGGAAAGCAGAGGCAGAGCACACTGCAGGGCACAGACACCATGTCTGTGAAGAGCAGGCTCTTGGGGTGGTTTCTCCTAGGGGTGTCCATCAGGTGAGCTGCCTCTCCTTGGGAGCAGGGGCTATGCAGGATCACCTGGGCTGCAGCTGGGCATGGTAGAGGGTGTTCCACTGAATACCTCTGCCTGTCTCCTCCAAGTCAGAGTGACTGGTGTGGCCTGGCACAGGGGCCAGCCAGGGAGAGTCTCTGTATGAGATGCTACCTCAGTAGCTGAAGTGGGCAGTAGAGGGGCTGACTGTGGGAGGAGGCTGGGAAATCTGAGGGAAGGAGCCAAGAGGAAGAGAGAGGGTAGCAGAGTTCTCTCTTACCTTTCAGCATTTGCCACCTGAGGCACTAAGCAGAGATCAGCCATGGACACCTGAGAGAGAGTTGGGTGGGTCTGCGTCAGGGTGTGTATCCCAGGCTCACAGGCTGGGCTGGTCACGGTACTGGGGTGCCAGCCTCTGATGTTCCTATTTGCTTCTGGCTCTCCATTCATCCCCACTGCCCCCTCCCCCTCCTTGTCTCCCTGGGCCTGTCTGGGTCTGTCTCCAGAGCTGAGGGCTTCTCTGGGGCCATGCTCCAGTTGCCCTGACAACCAACTCTGTGGGTGGCTAGGGGTTTGATGGCCTTAGTGGATGCACTGTGCTTGTTAAGAAACAACAGTCATTGGCCCTTAGCAAGGGCTCTCAGAGGGAGGAGATGCCTCAGGATGGGGATGGGAGCCCTGGAACCAGAATTATCACAGAGTCAGGGCCTTAGCCTGTAGGAGTCAACAGCACCTGAGCCCTAGAATCTCAGAATTGGGAGGGAAAGGAGACATCATCTAGTCTACTCTCTCCTATCTGATGCCTAGACCACCTCCTTATCTCAGAGATGAGGTCTTCAGCTTGAACATCTCTAGGACTGAGATTCACTCCTGTTGAGGCAGTTGACTAGGAATGAGCAGAGGAGCTGCCCATGAGCTACCTTCTGCTTTGCAGAGAGGACGACTTCAGTCTTGTTGCCTCCCCCACCCCCATCCCCTCTCAGGGAGCTCTCTGAGCTGATCCTGCCCTGGGTGGAGGGAGATGGCAAGTCCAAGTGGGAGAGGGTCAGCATGAGGCAGGAGGCCGCGGTGGTCAGGCCTGGGAGAGCTCACCTCATCTCCCACACAGTACTTCCCCGCTGTGTTCTGCAGGATCTGCTCCAAAGCTGTGGAGGGACCACATGAATAAGCTTACTCTGGGCACAGAGAGGGGAGATGAGCCTTTTTGGGCCTTGGCCTCCACAGTTCTGAAACGGGTGGCTATCTGAATGACAGGCTGGGGCATGCATGCTGGAGGGAATATGGCAGCCAGGTCTAGAGTGAGTTGATAGGGACATGGGGACAAAATGTCTTCCCGGGCTCCTAAAGTCCAGCTGCCATTCCCAGAGGGGACAAGGCCTGCCGCTGGCCAAGGCAGCAGCTCTTACATGGACAGTGAAGCAGAGAGGCCATCCAGCTCCAAAGGGCCTCAAGTGCTGAGGTTCTCAGAGGTGGAGGCCAGGTTTGGATGCTACCCAGCCCACTGCCTCCTCAGCCCTGCCCCCCATCCTCATCCATGCCATTGTCAAGACCAAAGAGCCTGGAAAGCAATTTTAGATGCTCAGGGCCATGGGCATGAGGGCCATTTCTCTGAGAGGTCCCCTTGGGGCAGCTCGCAGGAGTAAGGACTCACCATTAAAGCCAGAATTGATGACCTTCTGGGCCCAGGTCAGCTGGTTCTCCTGTCCCACTTGCTTCAGGACAGACAGGTTCTGTGCAGCAGGAAAAGCTGTAATTGGCTTTGGAAGCCAGGCTGGGCCTGCTCAGCCAAGTCCCTTCAGGGAAGCTCAGCTCCCATGTGTCCCTGGCT